GTGTTGACAGGGATCCTGGGGTCCTTTTGGCCTGGGCAGAATGGTTTGGTAGCAGCTCAAGGAATTGTCTGAGAGGCCACATGCCCCAATGTGGCTGAAGGCCCTTGTCTTGGCAGTCCTTGCCTTGGTTTCCATGTTCAGTCATAATGAATTGCTTGCAGTTCCTCCCAGCGGTTGCCCCTGCTCCCCTCTGTGCCTGGTATCCTTTTTCTGCTGTCTTCACTTCCTCTGAGTCCTCCTGTAGGTTTCAGCAGAGATATCACTGCTTCCAGGACCCACTCCCGCCACCCTAGGTCTGGACAGGATGCTTTTCTCTCTGCTCCTGACTTCCCTGACACAGAACTCACATTGGCATGGGCTGGTCCTCCGTCCCTAGCTGTGTCTCTGGCAGGGTTGCAGGCTTAGTGTCTGACGAAGTGCCTGGCACATAGTAGGTCCTCATTAACTATATATTAATGGATTGATTGGGAAAAAAATCAATTCCTTTGATTCGCTTTCTGCCTTAATTTCCCCCAGCCTCCATTTTTTTTTTTTTTTTTTTTTTTTTTTAGTAAAAGGCTTATTTCTTTAAGAGTGGTTTTAGGTTCATAGAAAAATTGAGAGGAAGGTACAGAGTTTCCATCTTCCCACTACTCCTCCCCAGGCACAGCCTCCCCAGCTATCAGTATCCCTCTATAGAGGGAGGCATTTGTTAACAATTCTTGAACCTACATTGACACATCATTATGAGGCAATGCCTAGAGTTTACATTAGAGTTCGCTCTTGGTGTCATACATTCTTTGGGTTTGGACAAACGTCTAATGGCATGCATCCTCCATTACAGTATCATACAGAGTGGTTTCATTGCCCTAAAAATGCTCCATGCTCTGCCTCTTCCTCCCCCACTCCCCACTGACTCCTGGGAGCCACTGATCTCCCTGTTTTCCCTTTTTCAGAGTGTCATACCGTTAGAATCATAGGGTGTGATGTATGTCTCCTTTCATGTGAGTTTCCTCCATGTCCTTTCATGATTTGATAGCTCATTTCCTTTTATCACAGAATAACATTCTTTTGTCTGGATGTACCCTCCCCTCTTTTATTTTTACAACAAGAAGAGAGGGCACTTTTCTCTTTCTGCCTTTAAAGGGCTATTGTTGGCCAGGCGCGGTGGCTCATGCCTGTAATCCCAGCACTTTGGGAGGCCGAGGTGGGTGGATCACCTGAGGTCGTGAGTTCAAGACCAGTCTGGCCAACATGGTGAAACCCCATCTCTTACTAAAAATAGAAAAATTAGCCGGGCGTGGTGGCGGGTGCCTGTAATCCAAGCTACTCGGGAGGCAGAGGCAGGAGAATCACTTGAACCTAGGAGGCGGAGGTTGCAGTGAGCCAAGATCGTGGCATTGCACTCCAGCCTGGGCGACAAGAGCAAAACTCTGACTCAAAAAAAAGAGACTGTTGTTGGCCAGACAAAGGGTTGGGGTGAATGGCTTAGTCTTCGTTGATCATCCTCCAAGTTTCAGTTCTGGGCTGGGCCCCAAGTGGTCCTGTGTTGATCACTGTTGTCTACTCTGTACCATTTTGCTTGCTTAATAATACTAGTCAACATTTTTTGAACACTTGTTGTAAAATAGACACTGGCCTAAATACACTTATTCCATCACCCCTTAAATACCTATTACATAGCACCTGCGTGTCAAACACCGGGTACTAGGGACACAGCACTGAGCACAGCCCTGCCTTCCTGGAGCTTGTATTTGATGCAAACAAACAAATTAGTAAGTGAGTACATACCATGGCAGATAGTGATGAGTGCTGTGGGAAAAACAGGTCAGAGTAGAGGGTATATGGAATGCTCATGGGGTGTTGTTACTATGTGTGGGGTGGTCAGGAAGGACTCACATATTAGATAACATTTGAACAGAGTCTTGAAGTAGATGAGGAGAGTGGTTGTATGGCTGTGGTTGGAAGGGAGAGACTTCCAGGCCAAAGGGAGAGTAAGTGCAAAGGCCCTGTGGTCAGGCCATGATGGGAGTGTTCCAGGAATATCCAGGAGGCTGGGTTGACTGGAATGGAGTGAAATGAGCTGGGAGAAGGGAATAGGAGGTGAGGCCATATACAGCCTTGCTGGCTGATGGACATATGATATGCATCACATATATAATTCTACATTTGCTTGTAATCACAAAAAAGAAACAGGTGAAGTTATTTTTTATTACTACATTTGTTTAACATCATAGATCAAAAATACCCCTTCGACGTGTAATCAAAGTAAAAAATTATGAGATACTTTACATTATTTTTTCTTTCTTTTCTTTTCTTTCTTTCTTTCTTTTTTTTTTTTTGAGACAGCATCTCCCTTTGTTGCCCACGCTGGAATGCAGTGGTATGCTCTTGGCTCACTGCAACCTCTACCTCCTGGGTTCAAGCAATTCAAGTGATTCTCCTGCCTTAGTCTCCCATGTAGCTGGGTGTAGTCTAGCACGTGTCACCATGCCCAGCTAATTTTTGTATTTTTAGTAGAGACGGGGTTTTGCCATGTTGGCCAGTCTGGCCTCGAACTCCTGACCTCAGATGATCTGCCTGCCTCGGCCTCCCAAAGTGCTGGGATTATAGGCGTGAGCCACTGTGCCCAGTCTACATTGGTTTTTTTCTTATTACATTTTCAAAATCTGGTGTGTGTTTCAAGGCCTTATGTGAACATGTGAAGTGCCCTAGCCACATTTCAGTTTCAGCAGCTGTGTGTGGTGAGCGGACAGCATTTCAGAAAGCACAAATTGTTCTGCCACAGAAAATCAGACAGCACACATATAGAGGTGTGTAGGCCATGCTGAAGTCCCCGAATGAGCTGGGGAATCCATGGGGGGTTTTGGAGCATAGGAGCGATGGCTCTCTGCCGTAAGTTCTGGAAGGTTCTCTCCAGCTGCTGTGATGAGAGAAGATTGTCATGGGGTGGGATATAGGGGCACAGGGCAGAGCAGGAGGCTGGGAGAAGGAGGCTGTTAACAGGCACAGTGTCAGTGGCTCGGATCCAGGTGGCAGCAGTGGCGGTGGTGAGAAGTGGCTGGATTCTGGTTGTATTTTGAAGGTGTAGCTGCCAGGGTTTGGCAGTGTGTGAATGAGAGAGGAGTCAAGGAGGCGCCGGGAGTTTTGGCACTGACAACTGGAAGGATGCAGTTGTTTCCAGCAGGATGAGGAAGGCTGTCAGAGGTGGAGGGAAGCTCCAGGTTTTCGGGGGAAATATGAGGTTGGGTTTGGATGTGTTAAGTGTGAGATTTGGGTATTAGGCTTGCAGCTGGAAGTGTTGAGTTGGCAGACAGATAAGTCTGGGGCTCAGGGCACAGGTCTCATCCAGGGGTATAAATCTGGGGGTTGGAAGCACAGTGATGGTGTTTCAGGCCATGAGATGAGCCAACAGTCCCAGGGAGAAGATACGTGTAGAGAAAAGGAGGCTGAGTCCTGGGTATGGAAGATGGGACCAGCAAAGCCCGCTGAGCAGGAGACTGTGGGGAGGTGGCAGGGAGCCCGGCAGAGCGTGGAAAGAGGCAGGAGGGAGGAATCGGCTGTGTCCAGTGCTGCCGATGGGCTGAGGGAGATGAGGCCCGTGGATTCCCGAGCATCCATCAGACAGGCGGGGCCAAATGCCCAGCTGAAGCGGGTCCAAGAGAGAATGGGAGGAGAGCAGGGGACAGCTGGTGTAGACAACTCGATTGAGGGGTTTTGCTTTAACGGGGAGCAGAAAAATGGAGTGGCAGCTTAAGAGGGCTATGGTCACGAGGAGGTCTTTTTTAAATTGAAGATGGGTGATGTAATGGCTGATGGGAATGGTCTAGAAGACAGCAAAATCATGATGTAGGGGAGAGAGAAAAAAATGAGCCGTCTCATTCTTGCTCACGAAGGCCCTGTGTGGTAGATACCAATTTGCGGACAAGGAAACTGAGGCAAAGGTTCAGCCATTTGTCCCAGGTCACACAGCCAGTAAGTATTAGGGCCAGGAGTTGAATGCCGATGGCTGACCTCTAGAACACTGCCAGCCTTGGCCATTGTGCTGTTCTGCCTCTTGGTTTGCTGGCTGGAGTTGTGAGCTTTTCCAGAGTGGGCCCTCCTCTTGCACTTTTATATCTAACATGGCACCCGGCAGAGGGCTGTGCAGAGGTAGGACCTGATCAATCTTTAATGGGCAAGTGATTAGAACACCAGAAGCTGTGTGCTGAAAGCGCTCAGTCGCCTGGCCCACGTGAGAGGGACGCGTGGCCTGAACCTGCCTCACCCCTGGTCCTTCCCACCACCTTGCGGGGTCTTGCGTGGAGAGAGTGGTGCTCATGAAATACTGGAAAGCATTTGTAGGGTGGATGAAGAGTGGATGAGGAGCTTACATCGACGGTTCTCGCTGGTATAACTGCACTTCTGGGTGTGACTCGGGTTCCTGTGCTGGGCAACCTTGGGCAGGCCCCTTGCCCACACAGTGCTTCAGTTTCCTTATCTGTAAAATAACAAGGTTGGGTGAGGTGATCTCTCATCTGGCTGTCACCAGAATGCCTCAGGAGGGCATGTGTGTGCTGTCTGCACCCAGGCTGCTGATGATCCCATCATGAGCATTGTCTGACCCCAAATGCCAGTGTCCTGCTGGTGGGTGCATAGGGGCCCCCTCATTGTATGACGCTGAGCCAGTCACTTTATTTCCCATATTTGTAAACAGGGCCATACACACCTAGTTGCTTGCCTTTTAGGCTTGTGATGAGTTTTAAGTCTACTATTGTCCTGGATTGCCATGGTATACCTCACCCTGCACCAGTCGCTTCCTAAGCACTCCCTCAACCTGTGTATTAACTCCTTTACTCCTCACCACAGCTTTAGGAGGTAGGTCCTGTGAAATGATCCCCATTTCACAAAGGGGGAAATTGAGGCACAGAGCGGGCACATGGAAGCATATTGAGTACTGGGAGACATTTCCCAGCAAGGGGGCAGCTGCGTCCTCCTCATGCTTGTGCGGCCTCTGACCTGCACTCTTGTTCCTCCTCCAGGGACAGGGGCAGACCCGGTGGTCAGCGCCAAGAGCAACCATTGCCTGGATGCTGCCAAGGCCTGCAACCTGAACGACAACTGCAAGAAGCTGCGCTCCTCCTACATCTCCATCTGCAACCGCGAGATCTCACCCACCGAGCGCTGCAACCGCCGCAAGTGCCACAAGGCCCTGCGCCAGTTCTTTGACCGGGTGCCCAGCGAGTACACCTACCGCATGCTCTTCTGCTCCTGCCAAGACCAGGCGTGTGCTGAGCGCCGCCGGCAAACCATCCTGCCCAGCTGCTCCTACGAGGACAAGGAGAAGCCCAACTGCCTGGACCTGCGCGGTGTGTGCCGGACTGACCACCTGTGCCGGTGAGTGCCGCGGCAGCCCCGGGGGTGCTGGCAGGAGGGGGCTTGCATTGCTGGGCTGTGTTTTCCTTTCTCTGCATTCCTTGGGGTGCATCGAATTATGACTGAGTCCAGCAGAAAGGGTGTCAGAAAGGGTAAAACTGACTTGGACATGTGCAAAGTGAATTTTCCATTTCATTCATCCATGCATCCATCCATCTACTTTATTCAATCGTTCATTCATTCACTTAGAACAGGTTTATCTTTTGCTTACTCTTGGCTCAGCTGGGGAAACCAAAACGAACAACCCAAGGAGCTTGTAATTGAAAACCATAGACTCCTTGAGCCTTGGAATAAGAGACCTTTGGATGCAGTGGCTCATGCCTGTAATCCCAGCAACTCAGGAGGCTGAGACTGGAGGATCACTTGAGGCCAGGAGTTTGAGACCATCCTGGGCAACATAGCAAGACTCAGTCTCTACATATATATGTGTTTGTGTGTGTGTGTGTGTGTGTGTATATAGACACATACATGTATACACACACACATATGTACTTATATATATATATAATATAGAGCTAAATTTCAGCTCAGTATAACCATGCATCCCCCCAAAACTACCTTCCTAATAATGAACCTACACTTGTTAAGCACTTACTGTATTCTAGGCTCTGCACTAAGCTTTGGACATACATTATGTCATCTAATGTTCTGCCTAAGAAAGTTTCTGCCTAATATCCCAACATATGTCACGTGGCTATCAGGAAGGGTGCTCTCATAAAACAAAGAGGCAGCTCACTCTGTATTGAGATATAATCCAGTCTCAATGGATCATATGAGTGAGGAATGGGTCGGGGTGAGGAATGGGTCCTGGAGTCGGACAGTCCTAGCTTTGAATCCTGACTTTACCGCTCATTAGCTGTATAATCTTGAGCAAGTTTATAAAATTTTCCTGACCTTCTGTCCCTTCACCTATGAAACAGGAGTGAAAAGACTCACATCACAGGGTTATTGTGAACATTAGATGACATAACGTATGTCCAAAGCTCAGCACAGAGCCTGGAATACACTTAGTGCTTAACAAGTGTAGCCTCATTGTTAGGAAGGTAGTTTTTTTTGGAGGGGGGTGCATGGTTATACTAAGTTGAAATTTGGCTTTATGTAATTCTCATGTTTGTCCTTTTTATTTGCTAAGTATTTATTGAGATGCTGTTGTGTGCGGTTCTTGATCCTAAGGCCTGAGGATACAGGGGAAACAGACAAAGGGAGAGGTGATCCCAATTCAGTGGGATAAGGCTGTGGGCTCCCAGAGGAGAGAGCACAGGAGAGGGGCATCTGCCATATCCTGCGTGTCCCGGGGAGGGGAGGGGGCCTTGAGCTGAGCCTTGGGAAACAAGAAGGAGAAAGCCAGGGAGGAAGCCTGTTGGAAAAGCATGGCACAGGGTAGAAGTGGGAGAGGACCTGGGCTCTGGGGAGCTGCAGGTGTTGGGCACAGGTAGAGTGGGCCATGATGGGAGTGAGGGGGAGGCTGCTGGAGAAATGGGGATAGAAGTGGGTGCAGGTGTTTATAGATTGCCTGTTGTGTTCTAGACACTGTTTTAGAGGCGTTATGTCTCTTTTAATCCTTGCAACAAAACTGAGGTAGGTACTATTATCTTTATCTGTCAATGAGGAAACATCTGGCAAGTTACAGAGAAAGTAACTTGCTGAAGGTCACACAGCCATACAGTTCAGAGTCAGATTCCAGCTAAACTGCTTCTTTCCAGTATTACTGAGTGCTCCAGACTAAGATAGTGAGTGTGGGTATGGAGAAAACTGGATTATTTCAGAGGAAATTGGGAAGTGACCTTGATGGGACTAGGTGACTGGCTGAAAGTCACCTGGAGATAGAACCCTGGTGGCAAGAACTATTTGTTTTGTTTACTCCATACCCCATCCTGCATGTAGATCCTGGCGTGTGGTGAGCATTCCGTAAGGTTAGTTGAATGGATAAATGGATGGTGTCTACCATGTTTCCTAGTTGAGTAACTCTGGGGAGATGGAGCCATTCAGTGGGGGTGGTATTGGACATGCAGCATTTGAGGGACCTGGGGGACTATTGCCACCTTCATGGCAACACCTAGGGGGCACTTGGACTTGTGGGTTTCGACCTCAGTAATGAGGCTGGAAGGAAGAGATGGGTTTGGGAGTTATTGGGTACTTTGCTGGTGATCAAAGCCACAACAGTAAATGAGATGGCCTAGGAGGGGTTGCTAGAGCTCAGGAGGGAGTCTGGGCTGGAGATGCCTGACTGAGGGCATCCTCAGTGTTTAAATGATAAGGCTTGGAGCGAACAGTGGAAGCAGAAATCTACTGGAAACACCAGTGCTTAAGGGAGGGGCAAAGGAAGTGGGATGTGAGACTGGAAGGGAAGGGGATTTCAGAGGGAGGAGGTGAACGAGCTGTGGTGTCTCACAGAGTGTGTATACCTGTGTATGCCTGTGTGTATGTGCATGTTTACGTGTGTTTGTGTGGTGGAAGATGGACCGCAGTGGGCCCAGGCCTGGCAGGGAGGCAGAAGTAGAGGCATTGGGCACAAGCTACCGTCTTCAGAAGGAACCAGGGCCAGGGGCTGCAGAGAGACGGGAGATGGGGAGGGAGAGCCGGGGCCCTGTGCACACCGAAGGGGAAGTGCTACTTTGTGTGGTTTGCAGAACAAGCTCTCCTGGGGTTTGGAGAAGGGCCTGATCCCAGAGCTAGCTGCAGGGCTCAGGGAAAGCGCTGTGAAGAAGGGGGGTTTTTGTCTTTTGCTTACTTAAAAAAATGTATCTTATTGCCTACACAAACCAATTGAGGCGATTGAAGATGAAACTATGCATACTACAATGAGGAGGGCCAGCCTTAGAGAGGAGGAGGGAGCAGATGTGGCCACGCTGCCATTTGCCATAGTGACTGAACTAGAGCTCCGAGCTTCTTTGTTGCTGGGATAAAGGGGAGGCTTGATGGGTCACATAACCTCCAACCAGGATAGATGGGGGCATGATCTGAGACACATTCGCTGCTTCTTCTGAATGCTAAAATGACCTTTGGGGGCTGCGCCCTACACAGCTGCATGGAATGATGGAACAGACAGGAACTGGACCTTGAAGGAACTGGAAAAGACTAGCATGAATCCAAGCCCAGGACCCAAGCATGGGAATGGGCCAGGCGCACTCAAAAGCTGGAGGACTGCAGGGCGTCTGGTGACAGGGCCTGGAATCAAGCCACTCAGGTGTCCGAACTAGGTGTCTTGGGCAGAGGAGTGACTGGGACACTGCACCCATTTTATTAGTATTGCTTTAAGGAAGGATGGATAATACGACAATGTAGTGGACAGCTCCTATGGGGTCTGCAGCCCTGAGATGGGAGAATTTGGAGCAGGGTGATTTGTGGCTTGGGGAATGTCTGTGTCTGTTTAAAGAACTAGAAGCATTTTTTCTTTTCTTTCTTTCTTTTTTTTTTTTTCTTTTTTTTCTTTTCTGGAGGTGGGGGAAGCTAGGAAACAGGAGAATCAAGTGATATACTTCACACGGTGGAACCCGAAAGAGCATTTAAATAGGACTAAGTATTGGGGGGGTCAGGACTGAGGAATCCCGGGAGCTGAGGGCTGACAGTTTCTGAAGTGTGCTGAGCCAAGCAGATGAGCTTCTTGCACTGGGAAATAAATTTAAACAATGGCGACTCCAGGGCCCACAGACAGTGCTGTGTCTGGATTATTGAATTAGGTACGTGGCTCACTTTAGGAGACCTGGGATCCTGAGTAGGAAATTCTGATTGCTCCAGGATGTGGCTGGGTGAGCTCCTGGTCTTGAAGCAGGGTGTTCTTCCAATCCATCTCTCCCTATCTCCCACCAACACACCCATCTGCATGCAAATTTCAATATGGTCCTGAAGAGGTAGGGAAGGAATGAGGGTGGAACCTGCATTAGGAGGAGTCTGGCAGGAGCATGGAGAAGTGTCCTTTAGGGAACCTCGCGCATGATGGAGAGTTGAGGTTTGGGGTGGGGTGCATTGAGACATGCATCCGGAGCCACAGAGACTGAGATGCACAGACTCTGCAGGTGGTGGATGGAGGTGGCTGTGGTGGTGCCCCAGAGTCAGGGGACCTACCTTTACTCTTCACCTGCCTGGAGCCTCCTGCATGGTCCTTGGTGGACCGTTCACTCCTCATGCCCTGGGGGGTCTTCATCTATCAAATGAGGATCCTGAACCAGGTCATCTGTAGGGACCCTGAGGTCTTGTAAGTCTGTGGTTCTGAGTCTGTTGAAGCAGTTTTCCTGTCTGCCTTCTCCCTCTGCTCCTGCCCTCTCCACGGGAGGTTATTTTACTGGAGAGATGAGCTGTTGGTATAAGGGGAAGTGGCCTAGCCAGCCTCATCAGGGTGTATGGTGTGGGAGAAGGTATTTGAAGGGCCTGGAAGGAGAGGAGTGGCTTCTTTCTACACTCTTGCAGGCCTGACTTGCTGACCCAAGCGTTGCTTTCCCCAGAATCCACAAAAGTGCTCAGGTGTCCTATGGATGCCTGTTATCAGCATCAGAGGTGACAGGTGGCTCAAGAGGGGCCCCTGGAGAGCAGGAAGCTGGGTCGTGGCTCTCGACTGTGCCTGGGAAGGGGTGCACTTCTTCCTTTCCCTGGTTTGACTTCCTCCAGGTTTCTGCCCTCCAGGATGGGGACCGCAGGTGGAAATCTTCATTCTGAAAATGGAGAGCCCAATGCCAGGGTGTTTTCAGCAGGAATTGCAGAACCCCCAGCCTGCCTTTGCTGGTACTTGAATGAATGAAGCCAGCCTTTATGGGTGTCCTGGGAAAGCCTCTCTGGGCTTGCGACTCTGGAAGTGAGGCTCCAGCTCTTGGGCATCTCCTAGGAACATGCCCATGGTGCAGTGCTATGGCACCTAGCCCTGATGCAGCCGGGCCTGCTTGTCCCCTGTGGTCCCTCCTCCTACCGAGAGAGTTGGCCTAGAGATGCCCAGGCTTCCTGCGGGGTGAATCTTGGCCCAGGATTCT